GTCTTGGAACGGGTGAATGAAGCCCCTGCCGATCAGCAGGCCGAGCGTCGGACTGTCCGCGGCGCTGAAAACGATTCTGCCCGCGCGTCCGCACAGCGCGAGCGGCGCGGTCACGTGCAGCTTGCTCGGCAGGGCCCCGCCGCTGCCGAACTTGCAGGTCTCGTCCTCGGCCCCCTTCAAAATCTGCTCGCCCAGGCCCATCTTGACGAACATCTTCGTGTAGTCGTCGTGTCAAGACTGGCCTGACACGCAGAAGAGGCGCGCCGCGTCGACCGTGCCGTCGCCGCGGTCGTTGGCCTTCCTGTTGTCGTTGGTCTGGCTGACGCCCGGCATGTCGGGGGCGACCTGCTCCAACACTCACGCCCGCGGGAACGCACCCTCGCTGGGCGGCGCGACCGGGCCCTCGGGGCGGAGCTGGACCTCCCCCGCGGGGCCGCTCAGCGCGGTGATGCTCGTCGAACGACGAGGCCGCTCTGCTCCCTCCTCCCTCCTCCCTCCTCCCTCGCCCCTCCTCCCTCTCGCGCCCGTCTTGGCTCTGCCTTTCTGCGGGGCAAGCTTGCGGGCGCCGGGCGCGGGGCGGTCCGGGCCACCCGTCCAACGCCCAGTCTCGCCACGGTCCCAGCAGGCAGTGTCCGCTGGTCGATTCTGGAGCTCATCTGGGGGCTTGCAAGAGCACGGTCATCAATCTCTGCCTGGAGAGATCAGCCCTTGGCGGCCGACGACAAGGCCCCGCGGGAGCAAACGCCAAGCATGGGAATGCGGGGGCGGCAACCCACAAGGGCGCACCCCCAGGTGAACCGAGGAGTCGCGTGGCGCCCCGCCAGGCGAAGCTGCCCGGCGACGCAAGAGCGGCAACCCACCGGGGCGCACCCCCAGGCGAACTGAGGAGTCGCGTGGCGCCCCGCCAGGCGAAGCTGCATGGCGACGCAGAACTCCTGCGCACTCAGGTTCAATCGAAAAAAAAACACGTGGATACACCAAAAGTGGCTTGAGGCCAGTTTTGGTGCACTCCCCAAAAACCGTATGGAAACCACAGAGAATGAGTACACCGAAAAACTGCAAACCAGAATTCCTCTAACATTCCTCAGACGCTTTCGCCGCTTAGCTGCCCCCACGGCCCCTGCGCTGGCCTTCCACCATGCTTTCGGCATCGGTTCAACGGCTCGCCGACGCGTGCCAGTGCCCGCCGCCGTCGAGGAGCAAAACCAATGCTGTCTGGGGAGAAAGACATCACTGTTCTGATCCATGCCCCCGAATTCCTGGCCCTGCCCGTGGCCCGGTCGCGACCAGGCCCCCCCCCGCGAGGAGGTGTCCTCACAACCGCCCCCCTGCAGATCCTCCTGGACGCTCCTTCGCTGTGGCCCTTCTTGGGGCCGTCTGGGAGCCCTTCTGAGCCGCCCTGGTCTCCTCTCGGGCCGCCTTGGGGCCGTCCAGGGTCGGGACGACAGGTGTTAGTTTACGGCGCTTCTTGGGGCCGTCTCTGGCGCGCTGGAAGTGTGGGAAGTCGAATGCAACGAACACCCACAAAACCAATGCAACACATCCTTTCGAGTCGCCTGAGGGTCACCTCTGGAGGCTTCTTGGGCACTCTCTTGGGCTTCTCTTGGGCCTCTTGAGGCGCTATGGGAGCACCTTGGGGCGGAAACCTCGGAGTGCTCTTTCGCGCTCCCTCGCTCTGGTCTGAAAGCCCTCCTGAGCCGCCTTGGTATCCTCTCGGGCCGCCTTGGGGCCCTCCAGGGCCTCCTTCCGAACGTGCTGTGGTGGCTTACGGCGCTTCTTGGCCCGTCTTTGACCAGTGGAAAGCATGGAAAAACCGACACAACGACAGCCCACAAGAACCCACGGAAAGTTAACGATTTTCGCCTCCTGAGGTCGTGTACCTCCCGAGGCCTCTAGGATCATGTCATGGGCCTCTCAGGGCCATCTGGGAGCATCTTGGGACATATTCTTCGCCTTTGGCTCTTCTTGGGTCTGGGCGGCCCGAAAGGGGGTCCAGCTGCAAGGGGGTGGGGCAATTGTATTGCAAAGATATTGCGCCAGAGAATTGTATTGCACTGTATTGCAAGTAATGCATTGCACGCGAACATCCAGCAATACATTTGCGCGCCTGAATGTATTGCACGCCCCAACTGTACTGCCATCCCACAAATCTATTGCACCAGATCTGTTGCACCACCCCCTTGTCGCTGGACCCCCTTTTGAGTCAACCCGAACCTGGGAGCATCTTGTGACAGATTCTTCGCCTTCGGCTCTTCTTGGGGCCCTCTTGGAGCCACCTTTGGTGTACTCCCCCAAAACCATATGGAAACCACAGAGAATGAGTACACCGAAAAAACTGCAAACCAGAATTCTTCGAACACTCCTCAGACGCCGTCGGCTCTTCTTGGGGCCCTCTTGGCGCCCTCCTGGGGCACTCTTGGGCCCCCGGGCCCCCCGCTTGCAGCTGGGGGCGGGGGCCCGGACCCCGGCCCCCACGGGCCCGGTGCGCCACTGCACGCACACCTCCCAAGGAGGTCAGAGGCCGCCGAGGGCCAGGGGCAACAAGACATGCACGTGGCATGGCCGTCTCCGGAGGCCTCCCACGATGGGGTCGGAGTGGATGGGGTCGGAGGATCGCGCCGCATCGCCGATACGTCGGCGATGCATCGGCGATGCATCAGCGATGCGTCGGCGATGCACCGGCGATGTGCGTGGACGCGGGCGATGCATCGGCGACGTCGACGTGAAGCAAATCGGGCTCCACATTGAGCCGCGTCGCAGACACATCGACGATGCGGCGCGATCCTCCGACCCCATCCACTTGGACCCCATCTAGCAGGGATGAGGTCTCCGACTTGTACAAACCCCAAGAGGACAAATGCCGCCGAGGGCCAAGGGCAACAAAACATGCGTGTGTCACTGCCACCGCAAAGAGAGCGGGCAGACAGAGCGAGGGAGGGAGCCTCCGACAGACAGACACGCTTCTTTTGTTGCAGACTCGGCCCTGCTCGGTGCGTGGAACCCACCGCTCTCGCAATCTCCGCCGCGCGGCGCCGCAGCGCACCGTGTCCGACATCTGCCGTCCGTTGTCTGCGGCACTGCAGAACACGGCCTCGCTGCTCGAGGGATGGCACGCGCGCTTCGCCTCGGGGCTACTCGCCGCCGCCACCGCTAGCAGGTGCCGCACGTGGCCCGGCAGAATACCCTCGCCGTGGCGTCCGAAACCACCATCACCCGCTTGCCGCGCAGGTTGCTGGAGGCGGGGGCGTCCTGCACGCCGCCCCCTTTGCACGCGATCTCGCGGGTGGTCTTCCCAGTCTCGATGGCGAACTTGTAGATCTCGCAGCCGTCGCCGTCGCCGTCCCTCCACATGTGGTCGTCAACGCAGCCCTTCGACTTGGTCAGTTCCGCCGCCTCCTGCAGCAGGGCCGTCTCGTTTACAGGATGGCTCTGGTCGGGCGCAATCTTCGACCTGTGGTCGAAGGCGTGGGCGTCCCATTCCTCCACGGTCTTCTCCTCGACGCCCATGGAGGCACTCACGTCGCTCTGCATGAATGTCATCTGGTCCATTAAACCCATCGACTGGGAGTCCCCCAGCGCGGCCGCCTCACAAGGACCACCCCTAGTGCATGACTTGCCATGAAGATCCTCGGGAGTCTCGCTACCGAGTTGAGCCGCGACCGGCTGAAAGCACGCGAGCGCGAGGAGCGCGAGGAAGACAGACTGCATGGCGCGTGTCAGTTCTCTGGAAGGCGAAAAGGAAAGTCAGACTTGAGGATAATTTACCAGTGAGGGGTTCCAACCGGCATGAACCAAAATGGCTACGGATAGACAGACGCACGCGACCCCCGGCGCTTTCCGACTTGAGCCCGATGTGCACCCGATTTGGACCTGATTCAGGACAGTTTTGGACAGGGCTCGCCTTTCCACACGGGAGACGACGAGAACGAATGGGGTGATAGGGGGAGCAGGAAGCGCGGGGAGGAGCAGGAGGACGAGCCAAATGCGGTGCAAGTGCGGTCCAAATGCAGAGACACCTGACTTCAGCGTCGCTGGTCAAGGCTCCCGTGAACGGACAACGAAGATGCATGCTCGCTTCCGCCACGGATGGACACGCTCGGCTACCAGGCCTTCTGCCCTCCAAAGGCTCTCGAGGCCGACGGCGTGGTGATACGGCCCTAGCTGTCGGGGGGCCAGCGACCCGCCCCTCTTCTTTCCAGGCAGCTCCGGAGAAAGGCCGAGCGTGCCCGCGACGTCCCCAGATGCCTCGAGAGAGCAGAAAACTGATAAGCTAGCCTTCACTGCAGAAAGAGCTCGGCCACAAGAGATCTTACACAATAAACCCAACCCCGAGACCGCAGGGCGTCCACTGACTTTTGGTAACGTCACGCTTTCCATCGCAACACCATCGAGACCCAAGAAACCCAGGGCACCCTGGAGGCGAGCAGGGTCTGTCTTGGCATGGGTCTCCACCGTAAGCTAGCCTTCACTGGGCATCGTTTCATCGACCCCTATCCCCACGGGCGCGGCCGGGGCCCCGCTGGCCGATGTACTCAGGGAGCTAGGGGGACATGGGCCGTCTCCTGCAGGTTTCGAAGGGCACATCCCCAGACTGGGGCGGTGGGACGGCGGGTGTCGAGGTGAGGCTGGAGATGGGCATTGGGATCGGTCACACGATACTGATCGAACCCAACATGTTCATCCGCATGCATGCGTTCCACTGCCATGGCCTGCAGCCCGAGACGCACTCTCCGCTCCCAAACCAGATCCACAGGGAGTTACCCGCTTGGAGGCTGGGGGGTTCTAGAGGACAGGGCTCCGCAGGGTGATCACAAATGCTGAACTGATTCACGAGGGGTCCATGGGCCAGAAGGTCGCGACGCTACCCACCCAGGTCGAGGTCGAATCGAATTGAACAGGCATACTCGAACTGTGTACATTTTCCAAGCGTGGCACTTTAGCCATAGCGCGACTCGCTGATGCCGGGAAGCTCCGCGCGTTCGCGGGGGGTCGCTCGGAGCCAGTCATGCCGTGCAGAGAACTCTTCGCGAGAGAGCCACTCGTCGTCCTGAGGCGGCAGGGAACGACGACGCGTAGGACGAATGCCGGCAACACACGGAGCGGGAAAGACTAAGGGCTCGAATCACTGCAGATAAAAATGCTTGAGTTGGGAAAATGATCCCGGCCTGCAACACAAATAATACAAAGTAGCCCATGCCCCGACTAAAAGAATAGCCTGGCTATGAAGCTGCGAATACCGCACGACAGGTGGAAACTACAGGAGGAGGCTAGCAAGCGGACCAAGGCGTGCGTGAAAAGGACGAAGCGACGTTGCTGATGGGGTCGCAAGGGTCAGCCGCAACGGGTTACATCTGGATGTAACCCGTCACAACTGATCTGGGCGTCGGCTGGCCCGGCCCTGGGGAGCAGCAGGGTACGGTCTGGGGAGCAGCAAGCGGCGGGACCTTTGGTGGAGCTCCCTACGGGGCCACGGAACGAGCAAGGGGTGTGCCCAAACTCCCCAGGGGCCGCGAAAAGTGCGAGGAGTGTGCCGAAATAGGCGCGGTTACTCTTGATATGGGGCCACAAAGCGTGCAAGTGGTGTGCCGAAGTCGGCGTGGTCACGCACGCGATTCCTGCCAATGAAGCCTTAGGTGGAGCTTCCTTTGGGGACACGTGTGGATAGTGTGCGGCATGCGAACGCAGCCATGGGGCCTTGGGTGGAGATCCCTATGGGGCCGCGAAAAGTGTGAGGGGCGTGCCGGAATGGTCAGGAGACGGCATGCGAACGCAGCCACTGGTGCCTTAGGTGGAGCTCCCTATGGGGTCACGAAGCCTGTGAAGGGTGAGCCGAAATGGGCGCGGTGGCGCCTTGCTAACGCAGCAAATGAGGCTTACTCGGAACTCCCCATGGGGCCACGAAACGTGTGAGGGGTGTGCCGGCATGGTGAGGTGGCGGGCGGCATGCGAACGCAGCCACAGGGGCCGTAGAAGTAGAGCTAGCTCACATTGGGGCCTCGACACGAGTGAGGGGTGCGCCGCGCTGGCGAGGTGGCGGCATGCGACTGCAGCCATTGGGGCCTTAGGCGGGGCCCCCTGTGGGGCCACGAAACGTGTGAAGGGTGTGCCCAGATGGTGAAATGGCGGCATGCGGACGCAGCTACTGGGGCCGTAGGTGGAATTCCCTACGGGGCCAAGAATCGTGTCAGGGGTGCGCCGGAACTTTGGGTTGGCGGCGTGCGACCGCAGCCACTGGGTCCCTAGGTGGAGCCCCAATGTGGGGCCACGAAACATGTGAGCGGTGTGCCGACATGGTGGGGTGGCGGACAGCGAACGCAACTATTGGGGTTTTCGGTGGAGCTCCCTCTGGGGCCACGAAGCGCGCGAGGAATGTGCCAAAGTGAGGGGGGCGGCGGCATGCGAACGGAACCAGCAGGGCTTTCGGTGGAACTCCCTCTGGGGCCACGAAACGCGCGAGGGGTGTGCCACATTGATGGGGGGTGGCGGCATGCGAACGCAGCTAATGGGGCCTTCGGTAGAACCCTCTATGGGGCCACGAAGCGTGTCAAAGGTGTGCCACAGTGAGAAGGGTGGCGACATACGAACGCAACCTATGGGTCCTTACGTGGAACCCGCGATGGGGCCACGAAACGTGTGAGGGGTGTGCCACATGGTGAGATGGCGGCGTGCGAACGCAACCATTGGGGCCTGCGGTGGGAACCCTTTTGATGGAAACGTGTGAGGGGTGCGCCGAACTGGTGGGGTGGCGGCATGCGAACTCAGTCAAAGGGGCGTGAGGCGGCGAAGCGTGTGACTGATGCGCCGAGATGGCGAAGTGGCGGCGTGCGGACGCAGCTACGGGGGCCTTCGCTGAAGCTCCCTTTGAGACCACGAATCGTGTGTGGAGTGCGCCGGGCTGATGAAGTGGCGGCATGCGAACGCCACTTCCTGTGGGCGCACGCAGCGTGTGAGAGGTGTGCCGAAGCTGACGCCGATGACGATGATAGCGATGGTGACGGCAATGATGCTGATGATGACAATGAGGGGGACGATGATGGAGGTCATGATGGCACATGCAATGGTAATGACAGGGGAGGGAGGTGGAGGAGACCTTGACGATTGTTTTAATCAGCGCAGTCAGCCCCACTATCTGGTGTTGGTGGAAGCGGCTCCTGCTTCCCAGCTCATGCAAAAAGAATCGGGAATTTGACCCGATCGAGCTTTCTACTTGCAGCTCTCAAAAGCGAGAGGCGGCGTGCGGTGACGAGACCGAAACGACCAGCGAAAATGCAAGGCGATGGGGCCGCACCAGAAGCCGAGGCTGGCCCCGCGGCTGGCCCCACAAACCGCCTTGCGAGATACGGCCGGCTGGAGATGCGATTATATCGATTCGCGCGTTGCACCATCGAGCGCAACCTATCACTACCCAAGAGAATATTCCATCGGGCGCTTCCTCGTTCGATGTCAATGGAGACTGAAAAGCCCTCCAATGATGAGGCCCCCACGGGATCCACAGACTTCCAGGGTTCCGCGGATGAAGTGGTCGGGGGCAAGGCGAGCCCAGAGCAGGAGCGGGGGAAATGCCGCACTAAACTGCAGTTGCGCATGGAATTTTCCCCGCCCACATTCTGGCGCCGAAAGAGAGGAGGAGGAGGAGGAGGAGGAGGAGGAGGAGGAGGAGGAGGAGGAGGAGGAGGAGGAGGAGGAGGAAGAGGAGGAGCGGGGTTCTCTTGCGAAGCAGTCTGTGAAACGGCGGGAGTGCTGACAAGCAGCGCCGCTATACTGCGGCGGGTGGCTCACGCAATCCTGCACCTTCTGCAGCTGGAGGCCCGCGCAATCCTGCATCTCCGTCTCCTGCAGCAGGTGGCTCATGTAATCCTGCAGCTCGCGCTCCAACCGGCGCCTTGCCCAGCTCGCGCGTCATCCGCGGTTGAGCGCGTGAATTGACGATCGCCTGCCTCCACTTGTCCTCGCGCAAGACAAAAGTGATCCGCTTCTCCTCCCTGTCGCGCGTCTCGTCCAAACGGCGCACCCTGGTGACCTCCATTTTCTCCTCCACCCCGCGCGTGTCCAGCCGCTCCTAGATATCCCGGTTGTTCTTCGCGCCAGCGGACCCCGCCTCGCTGCCCTCTCCCGTCGAACGCGCCGAGATGCGCCCGCCGGGCTCGCGCGCCTGCTGCGCGATCTGCAGGGGCTGCTCGGTTAGCCGGGGGGGGGGGGCGACGAAGCCCTGCGTCGCCGACGCCCTTCAGCAGCTTCTCGGACTTGCCCCCGTTGCCGTCGACGGAGCGCGCCTCCTCGGGGCGGCGGCCGCCCGCGCCCCCTCCGCGCCCGCGGGCATGGCGCTCCGAAGTGCGCGGGGGAGGTCGGCGCGAGCGCACGCGCATGTAGTACTCTGGTGAAGATTCGAACATGAACCTCAGCGCAGCGCAGACAACGGCAGGGGGCGCCTGTAAATCCCAAGACTGCAGACCACCCCAGGGAATGCAACGACCGAGACTCCAAGATGCTTGCGCGCGCTGTCTTGCGCTATCTTTCGAAGCAAACGGGCCCCGCATCTCAAGCGCCCGCTAGCAATCGCACGGCCTCCAAGGGGGCGGAGCGCGCCGTCGGGGCCGCCGCGAGACTTCATCGCGCGCGCCACTGGCTCCCCGCAAACGCGGCCCAAGGGGTCCAACTGCTCGCATGCGCACTCGCCAAGCGCCCCCACCTGCTCCCTTGCCCAGCCGGTCCCGCGACCTCTCCTTCCCCATGAAGGGCGCCTCGACCAGCTTCGCGTCAACCTTGAGCAGCGACTCAGATGCATTGCCGCCGCTCCAGAGCGCTTGCCAAGCGCGCCCCGTTGTGGCCCACTCCTCGAAGAAGCCCCCGGCGCCGCTGCTGCCCTCGAGAAGAACGAATCCAAACTGGGATCGCGAATGAAACGCCCGGCGAACGGGCAGGCCGCGACGGCGAGCCCCCCGCCCTCGCCAATCGGCGCAGGCGCGCCCGCCAAGCAGCCCCATGCTGCAGCGCTGACCTGTCGACGTGCAAATGGATGTCGCGCCGTGTCTTGTCGCCGGCGGATGCGTGGCATAGTCGCAACTGCCCGACTGGGCGCCGTTCCTCACCGTCGCATAGGCACCATATTTGTAAATGCCTTCACGTGCGCCTCATTCTCGACCTGGGCCCCTCCTTCAAGTGCCCGAACATTCTTGTATGCCTGCGCATCCAACCGGCGCGGCTCCACCTCCGTCAGCGCGCAGATGCGCATGCCAGATAGCGCGGCCCCCGCCAGCTTGCCTGAGAGTAACTGTCGCCGCAGTTTGCGAGGCGGCGCGTAAAACAATGCCTGCCCACGGCGAGCCAGCATCTTCAGCGCGTCGATGCGGTGGCCGATCTCCACGTTTGCGCTGTCGCCCCGAACGCAGCGCCCCCTGCGCGGCCCGCGCGCGGCAGCGCGCGGCCCTCGCCAGCGGGCAGCAAAGCTTCGACCTTCATATTCTTCGCAGGCCGCAGATCCGTGGCCAGCTCGCGCTCGCTGACGCCCTGCTTGAAGCCCCCCCCCCATTGAGCCTCCTGGCGAGGGCCCCCCAGCACTCGTCGATGATGGCGCGCGCGACCGACGCGATGCCTGTCGAAATCACGCGCCGCTTCGCGAGGTCGCCCGCGAGCTGCGCCGCCGCGCGCGAGACAGGCATCTCCAAGATCGGCGTCGTGATCTCCAGTATTTTGTCTTGAGCTGCGCAGTTAGATCGCCATCGTTGAACAAGTCGTTTTGAATTATGCCGCGAACTCCTTCGTCGTTTCGCAAGTTCCCATGGGGCCACCGCGCCCGAGGGCGAGATGCAGCGCCTCGCCGAGGGCCCCTACCTCCACAGTGCGACGGTGAATATGGTTACGTAGCGCCCAGGCGCCCAGTCCACCGATTCGGTCATCACCTCCGCCGCTCGGTCCAAGCACTCCACCGGGACGCGGGCGAACGCGTTCGACGCGTCGAGCCGCCCCGACGCGCTGCGATGCCCCCGCTGCCGAGGCGCATGGCCCGCGCCTCGCGAAACCAGCGCGGCGCCCCCCCTCCTCCCGCGCGCCAGATAGCCGCGGCAGGTAGGATCGAAGCACAGCTCGCGCGCGCGGCAATTCGGCCCCTTGAAGAGGCCCCCCAGGAACGAACTTCCATGAGGCGCGGACCAAGCGGGCCAGGCGCTTGCCGACAACACACTTGCCGACCAGACCCCGCTGCGCTTGTCCAGCAAAGAGCCGGTGGCCCAGCGCGCAGCCGCAGGCGCTCGTTCATATCGCCCTTCGCGAAGAGGGGCCTCCAGCACCTTGCTCCTGCAGCAGAGGCAAGATCGCGTTGCCCCCCCAACGGGAGGTTGCCCCAGTCCACGCGGTGGTCGTCGCGAAGTCGCGCAGTGTGCTGGCTTCACGTGCACAAAAAATAATAGCTCCACGGGCGCGCTCCACTGCGCCGACCCCGATCCTCTTTCCACTCTTGCGCGTGGCCCTGGTAGTGCGACGTAGATCGCGTTCAGCGATGGCCGGAGGTCGTTCCGTTTCACGGGGGCCCCCGCCATCGCGCCTCGACGCTCCTGAAATTCAGCTCGGCCAACTCGCGTAGCCGACGTGCCACCATCCGCGCTAGGCTTCGCCATGTGCTCCTCCGCTGCGCGCGCAGAAGGGCGCGATTCAAGGCTGGCAAGGTACTTCCATCAACGCGCGCCGTTGGCTCGGTCGGCCAGTATAGGAGCACTCCGCTGTAATTGAAAAAGCATGCGCCCCAGCTTTTCGGCCTCCTCTGAATCCGCCCCCAATGAAGTGCGACGATCAGCATGACGTCACCGAACTAACTGCCGATGATGCTTCGTCAGGCGCTTGATCGTATCTAACTGCTTGTCGTCGCCCTTTGAATCCGAAGCTCGCAATCCCAGTTCAGCGACTCACTCCCGTTCCTGTGCACGCAGGGCGACCACTCGGCGCCGCTCAACTTCTAGTCTCGACTTTGCGTGCTGCGTCGCACCCCATTTTGCATCTCCAGGAGGTAGTCCAGCAGCAGCAATAGAGGTAGATGATCGCGTGGTCGTCCATCGGGTAGTAGCACAACTTGAGGCCCAAGGCGTCCAACCCGTGGTCGATGGTGGAAGACGCCCAATGAATGGTGTCAAAGTAGGTGGGGCCACCCCCGGGATACCAAATTATACGTAAGCGCAATGACCGTGTTAGACAGGGCTGCTCCGCCGAATCTCCAAAAACGCTCTGCCGCGCACAATGAAAGTCTCCAGCATGAGATCCGGCAGTTGGCGCGCCGTCGCCCATCTCGACAAAGCCGCCCTTCACATCCATGCCCACTGCCAATAATGAGCGCGCACGTGTCCCTGCCTCGACCGAATCGACCCAATAATGTTGACCGCCACCCCGTACGTCGCAATCTTCTTGCTAGTCGCGCCCGCCGGCGGTGGGTACCCCACGATACTCTTCACGCGAGCTGCGCCAGCTCGCCCTTGGATGGTTTAGGGAGGCAGGAGAATATCTACCACGTCCTTCAATCGAAACTGTCGTCCCAGAGTGATCGTGCACCCTGCATATCGGTTCGTCGGTGCCGAAGGTAACCGCCCGAGGTGAAGTTCAATGTACCCGCCGCCCAACCTCTCCACCTGATACTGTCGACCCCTCAACTGCGAGTACGAGCAAGAGTAAAAAAAAACTGCATCTGCCCGCAACTCGTGTGCCACTTCGCGGCACCTGCCCGTCGAGATCAAAGACAGTGGTCTGCAAAGAAAGAGGTCGAAGAAACCCCCAAACTCGCATGTTCCATTCATCCGCAGCGCGCCCGCGAGCCAGCTCCACTCCGCCGGGCACCTCGCGGCGCAACTCACACGCCAAAAGGTGTGGTGACGGGGGCGTGCCGCTGCGCTGCTGAAGCGGGGCCTGAGCCCAGGTGGCGCAAGAAATTGATGATGGTGATGATTATGATGACGATGATGACAACGACGATGAGGACATGCAAAGGGCAAATGACAGAGGCATATTATTTGGAATGCAGATGTTGACGATAAGGACAAGCAGGGGGCAGAGGCAAAGGCGGCAGGAGGCAGGACGGGGAGGAGGAGGAGAGGAACGTGGGGCGCTGTCTCTTCAAAAAGAGAACCTAACTCCACAGGATGGCTGGGAAAAAAATGCCTCATGGCAACCCCAAAAATTCACCAACTACGGACGACTCAATCCGCAACGGCAAACACAAAGCGCAAAGCCCTGGGAATGACACGCAAGCGGACTGTTCTGTTCAGAGGGTGCGCACTGCCCTTGCTCAGGTTTGGCGAGGCCCGCTTGAAGAAACACTGCAGGAAGTTCAGGCAACATGCCACACCACCGGGCCCCGCCCGCATATGTGTGTCCAGTGTCCCAACAAGTGGCCGTTGGCCGCATGCTCTCGAATGGATATGGGACTCGCCGCAACACACGTGCGCCGCAACGCTATGCGGGCAACTGTGACCAGAATTGTCCTAAGCAGGTGACCAAGAACCCTGCCAATAACCTCTCGCTTCAGGCGCATGGCTCGGACCTCGGCGGCACAAGCATTTACCAAATCGATGGTTTTACGCCTGATTCCTGTCTGGAGTCGAAAGCTTCATACCTGAAGTCAAGGCGGGATACCCTCTGGGACAACCAAGGGCGAGAATGGAGAAGACAAGACTGGCAGTGTAGTAGGATCAGCTGGTCCTGCCCGCCGTCGCTTTGGGCGCAGACCACCAGGGTGGCCACGAGCTC